CTTAAGAAATTCATATTATTTTTTGAATGTTTTGTAATAAATTATTATTTTAAAAATAACTAATTTATAACAGATGGCCACTGGTTTTTATTTAAAAAAAAAATTTATTATTACGGTATATATAAGTCGTTAACAACCAACCAATATATATATATATATATATAATTTAATCATTATATAAAAACTATAAATTAAAGTTAACAAATTATAAATAATAATTATTAAAAAATAATTATTATTAAGCAAACAAACAAAATAAAAGATGAAACGTTTTTTTCAATTGGTTTCAATGGTTATTGCAATCATTGCTTTCAGTTAGTTATTATTATTATTATTATTATTATTATTATTATATTATGTTATTATTTAATTTATTTATTTATTTATTAATTAAAATTAATTCAGTATCAAGCACAATTGATGGTAAACCAGATAGTTATCCTATTGAGTGGAATACTATGATTACTTATGGTTAAAATAAATTTCTATTACCTAGCTACTTTTAGTATTTATAAATATATAAGTAAATGTTAAACTTAATTATGTTTTTTGAATTATTTATTAATTTATTTATAAAAAAAATGTTTTGTTTATCTCTTATATATAAAAAGTTTGTTTTTTTTAATGTAAAAAAATAAAAAACTTGTTTATTGTTATTATAATTATGACTTATAAAATAAATTAATAAAAAAATAATTTAGTTTAAAATATACTCTATTTTTTAATTATTGTTATTATATTATTATTTAATTTTCAAATTAAAAATTATTATTAAATAACTAATATTATAATAATAATAATTATTAGTTATATTTTAAGTACAATTATTTAGATAACAAAAAATATATATAAGTATAATAATAGTTAATAATTATTTTAAATATTTAGTAAATTATTATTAATTTTATTTTAAAATAATTAAATTAAAAATAATTTTTTTATTTTAAAATCTAAACTTCCAGTACTTATCATCAGCTAATATGACAGATAGACAGACAGATAGATAGACAGAGAAATAATAGTAATAATAATAATGCTATTAATAATAATTGATAAGTTTTTTTTGTGTGTGTGATTACAAGTTCAGCAAAAAATAAAAAATATATATAATATATAAATTGTATTATTACAGTAATAATAATAATAAAAGCAATCATAATAATAAAATGAAATAAAAAAAATCAATTGATTGACGCAATAAATCAAACCAATAATGTATTGGGAAACACATCTAACATTATATATATATATATATATACTGTATATGTCTCTTATAACTTAAGTATTATTATATTATATATCTTTAAGTTATATAAGTTTTAGCAAAAAACATATTTTTTAGTAAATGAGTGCTTTTTTCGATGATTTCTCTCTCTCTCTCTCTCTCTCTCTCTCTCTCTCTCTCTCTCTCTCTCTCTCTCTCTCTCTCTCTCTCTCTTAAACATTAATCGACATATTTTTTATATCATATTATATATTGTGTTCAAATTATGTGTGTGTGTGTGTGTGTATGTGTGTGTGTGTGAGTATATGTGTGTGTGTGTGTATGTGTGTGTGTGTGTGTGTGTGTGTGTGTGTATGTGTGTSTGTGTGTATGTGTGTATGTGTGTATGTGTGTATGTGTGTATGTGTGTATGTGTGTATGTGTGTATGTGTGTATGTGTGTATGTGTGTATGTGTGTATGTGTGTATGTGTGTATGTGTGTATGTGTGTATGTGTGTATGTGTGTATGTGTGTATGTGTGTATGTGTGTATGTGTGTATGTGTGTATGTGTGTATGTGTGTATGTGTGTATGTGTGTATGTGTGTATGTGTGTATGTGTGTATGTGTGTATGTGTGTATGTGTGTATGTGTGTATGTGTGTATGTGTGTATGTGTGTATGTGTGTATGTGTGTATGTGTGTATGTGTGTATGTGTGTATGTGTGTATGTGTGTATGTGTGTATGTGTGTATGTGTGTATGTGTATGTGTGTGTGTGTATGTGTGTATGTGTGTGTGTAATGAAAACACAAATCAATTATATTAAAGCCTATGATAAATATGAGACAAATACCGTATATTACTGTATTGTATACACAAACCAAAAAAAATCATATCTTAAGAAATTGTATATCACATGAATGGTTAGGTATATAATAGTTTAGTTTAATAAATACTGTATACATAAATACAGTATATTATGTTATATATATATATATATATATATATATTATAGATATGTTTACAAAATAAATATATTGTATATATATATATATATAATAGTAAAAATTGTTGTTTTATGCCCACTTAACTAATGTATTATCTATTAATATAGTTTTTATTTTATTATATATAGTATTATATTTAATATAATATTTTATTATATCATATCAACCAACAACAAAAAATCCTAATTAAATGTATATAATATTATATTTCAACATGGTCTAATATATTTTTAAAAAAATATATATACACTATACTATACTATACACTATTATTAGCTTAATTAACTAATGATGTAAACAAAACAATAAAAAAAATACTTCAAATTAAATTTTAATTAACATTTATACACTTAGATTATAATTATATATACAGTATATACAAAAAAAACAATGACTAACATTAATGAAACAAATAAATAGTATAAACAGTATTTAAAAGATTAGTTAAATTTATTTTTTTTAAATACTGTATAATAGTTTCAATGTATTGTTTGCCTAAATAATTATTTTGTAGGTATTATTATTATTATTATATCATACTATGTATTGATATATATATAAAAAAGTTTAAACTATTTATAAATTATATAAATATATATAATAATACTGTATTGTAATCTCTGTGTAAACATTTTTGTCGACAATTTGAACCCCAAAGAAAAAAATTTATATAACATTTACAGTATATATATATATATATATATATATCTAATAAAAATACAATATATTTATTCTCTCTCTCTCTCTCTCTCTCTCTCTCTCTCTCTCTCTCTCTCTCTCTCTCTCTCTCTCTCTCTCTCTCTCTCTCTCTATTATATTGCTATATATTGACTGAGGTTTTTATTGCAGTGAATGTATCACCAAATTAGTTGATAATGTGTTTGTTTGTCAGTGTCAGTCATAGCAAGCACAGGGATCTTATGTAATATCTGATGTAAAAAAAATACAATTGACATTGTTGTGCACTCCCCTGCCAGCTAACCCCCCCCCATTAACCATACCCACCCACCCCCATACCATACATTTGAATTGTATTGCAAAATGAAAATCTCGTCCAAACAAATAGGGTTAAAGTCTCTCTCTCTCTCTCTCTCTCTCTCTCTCTCTCTCTCTCTCTCTCTCTCACTCACTCACTCACTCACTCACTCACTCATCACTGTCTTTGTCTAAGTGTGTGTGTGTTTGAATATAATAGGTTTGAGAGAACAGTTAGATTTTTTTTCGTTTTGTTTGTTTGTTTGGTTAGTTGTGATGAATAAGAAAAGACTTACAAGTTTTCCAGTTATATACAGTATATATATATATATATATATTTAAAAAAAACTACACTATTGTCTCCCTAAGCTGTGAATATGCAGTGTTAATGGTAAATGGTATCGACTATTCTCTATATATTCTATCTGTATGTAGTAGAGTATCTACAGTCAAAAAACTACCAGTGCTTGTGCTTTGAGAACATACAGTATAMACACATTCAAAGATATCGATCCGATAGTAGTAGTAGTATTGGTGGTAGTGGTAGTGATGCTCATTATATTCATAGGGAAAAACTGTAGTCACACATACATACATATACACACACACACACACACACACACACACACATACATACATACATACATACACACACACACACACACACACACACACACACATACATACATACATACATACATACAAAACTAACGGTGCTTTTAGATAGAGACTGTGCACTAGCGAGTCGTTGTTGGTTACCATATAAACTACCACTGAGTTGGTCTCTCTCTCGGTATATCATATAAAATGTGTATATGGATTTCCAGAGAGAGAGAGAGAGAGAGAGAGAGAGAGAGAGAGAGAGAGAGAGAGAGAGAGAGAGAGAGAGAGAGAGAGAGATAACTGTGCTGAATATATAGATATATATACAGTAGATGTGTTGTCTAAAACACAAATAGTCTGTATCAGCACTTGGATGTGATTGTGTGTGTATGTCTCACTCTGATCTCTCTCTGTATGTATACATATATGCATGTGTGTGATTGTTTGTTTTAACCTACCAGTGCCCAGCAGTGTGATGGTCAGCAGCAGCAGTCAGTGATACACAATAATAATAATGGCAATAGTGATCAACTAATTGTTTGGTTACCCCCATCACTATCTTTAAGTGCCGATCCAAGTGCTGTATATATATATAAAAAAAAATATTTCTCAAAAAAAATAGATACCATTCCTCTCTCTCATAACATCAATAAAATAAAATCAAAAAAACCTATTGATGTGAGCACTCGGATGATCATAACATAGATGTGCTTCAAATAGATTTTATTCAGTATAATAATAACGACAACAACAACACCGATAATAATAATAATAATAACAATATTATTATTGCTATTATTGCCAACAATAAGATATTATTGAAGATATTGAACATACAGTGAGAGAGAGAGAGAGAGAGAGAGAGAGAGAGAGAAAGAGAGTATATATAATCCTTTATTGCCTTTTTTCTGGCCTCTCTCTCTCAATATGTGTGTCTATTATAGCTAAAATCCGGTAGATTTGCTATAGTTGTTGTTGTAGTACATCCCGGTGCCAGAGATCACTAACTAGTTATTATTATTATTATTATTGGTCAACACTTACAACAACAACAATTATATACAGTATATCTATATTTAATATAAAGAATATTCTGTATAAACAAAATCATATAAATCTAGTCATTATAAACCAGTGTTTATTTTTGTTGTTGGTTATATATTAGTGTATTATTATTATTAAATATATAATAATAATATGAGTTATAAATATATGAATCCCTGTGCTCTGACATCACTACTACTTATAGTAGTAGTAGTGTTGTCATCGGTTTTAATTGATTTCAGTCATCAATCAAAGGTATGGTTTTATTCAATAATTTTGCAATTTTATCAATTATTTTCAATACTAATAATTTTTTTTTGTAACTAATTAGCTGATAGAGTGATAGCTTAAATGATTTTTTTTTTGTTATTTCATTGTATGATTAAATGCCTATTAAATCCCATCAACAAAAAAAATAAAATACTAAATACTAAAACCAGTGATCAATTTGCTAAGCAATTTGTAGGTTTCAATTGGCTTTAACTTTAACTATTCAATCATCAGATTTTTTTGTTAGTATAATACTGTAGTAGTAGTAGTAGTGTCTAATAATTTAGTTAGACTTTATCATTAATATTATAATCAGTTAGTGTGTGTGTGTGTGTGTGTGTGTATGTATGTGTTTGAATAGCCAAAATCAATGATGATTAAAAGTTATACACACTTTTGTAGGCCAATCCCCCGCCTAACCTAACCATCCGATTCAATAGAAACCCTAAATATAAGAGACTTATAAGCTCTCTCTCTCTCTCTCTCTCTCTCTCTCTCTCTCTCTCTCTCTCTYTCTCTCTYTCTCTCTCTYTCTCTCTCTYTCTCTCTYTCTCAATGTATTATAAATGTCAGTATCTTTTTATTTTATTTTTTTTGTGTATCTATTGATATATTTGAATACAATTTGGTATCCATTAGTGACTAATTTCCAGTCATTAATATATATTGCTATATATATATATATATTATATGCTATTTATATATCGATATTATATTATTATATGTACTACTAGTGTATGACTAATCACTGAGACATTTACTATTTAGTATTAGTATATTTATAGTATTATTATTATTATTATTACTATTAGATGAATTGATATTTGAATAATTTAATGATTAATGTATAATATTTTATTTACAATTGCTTATATAAATGTCAATATATATTAATTAATTATATTTAATTTTAATACTACAGTAATAATAATACTATAATAATCATAAAAATAATGCAAATATATTCAATATATATTTATTAGATTGAATAGTATAGTAAAGTAAAATAATGGCGTCCATAAATTAAATTGTATGAATAATTTAATATATATTTTATATTATTTAATAATATATATATATATAAAGACAACAAATCCTATATAATTAGCCAAAAATTTTCGAAAAATTTTAATTAAAGCATTTAAACTAAACAAAACAAAAACAAAACAAAATAATTATATAATTAGATAAATACTTAGCAATGTATGTGTGTCTATAAATATTACTGTTTATTATATACTAATAGCCCTTATATATATATATARTTTACAAAAATTTTAAATAATTGTTTTTAATATATGTATTTAAATTTAATTTATTAGAGAGAAAGARAGARAGARAGAGAGAGAGAGAGAGTTTTGTTATATTTTTCAGAAACTTTCATTTAAAAGATATTAATTAATTTCTATACAATATATTTCTATACAGTATATACTATATATATATATATATAGTATATACTGTACATTAGATTAGTTGTATCTTAAAAACTAATTAGTTTTCATTAAACAGTATAGTATAGTGTAATACTAAACAGTATAAGTAGTAATATATATATATATATAAAAGTAAACTCATTGTTGAAACTAATTGATGCATTTAAATGTTTGTAATTTATTTACTATTATTATTATTATCTACTACTGTAACTACTATTACTATTATTATTATTATTTTAATTTGACATAGTTGAATTATTGAAAAAAATTTGCATTTTTTCCATATACTGTACATTATTTGATATAAATACTAATAAATATACAATACTTTATTATTATTACTATTATTATTGTAATATTATGTATGATTAAAGCAGTGCACACTTACACTACACTACATTGTATAGCAATTTAATTTAAAATTCAATGTGTTTTTCATATATATATATATAAAGTATATTTATGATATTTTTATAAAAATAAGATTATATATTATATATAATAAACAATTTATTTTATTTTAGACTTTAATATTTTATCTCAAAAATTTTATATCAAAAATATTTTTTTTCTACCATAACATTAAACAGTATATATATATATATTAAAAATAATAAATAATATTAAATTTATATATATATATATAGAGCAGTGTATATAAAAATAATAATTTATATGAAAATAATATAATGTTAAGGAATTTTCATATTTATCATTGAAATAGTTTAAAAAAAAATACTATTTGTGTGTAATTTATTTTTATTTATTATTTATTAATTTTATTTATTTAGTGATGACTAGTAAAAGAGATATAAACTGTATAATAATAATAATAATATAATATATTTTTTATCAGTGAAAATGTTGGCACTAAATAAAAATAAATAAAATAATTTTCAGATTATATTTTTATATTATTAAAACAATAAATATATATCAAAAAATATATATATATATTGTAATTCAAAACATAAACTTGATATAATTTTTTTATAGTTTATAAAATATATACAATATTATTATTATTATTAATATTATTACTAATGAAAATAATAATAATAATAATAATAATAAAATTACTTTTTCTGTACTATAAATATAATATAAATTATTGATTTTAGTTTTTTGTTGTTGTAAACGAAATATTTTTGCAATCATATGATGATAATAGTTATAATAATAATAATAATAATAATATAATATTGAGAGAAAATGTATGAAAAATATATAATATATAATAATAATAATGGTTTCTAATTTATATAAATGTTTCAGTGATTTATTATATATACACACAATATATTTATATATTAATGTATAGATATTATATATACAGTATATACTGTATATAGATTGATAAATATATTGATATATACTTTAATATATTATTATATATAAATATAATATTATTTTTATGTTGATAACGTATTTTTTGTTGTTGGTATATTGTTGGCTATATGTGTGGTCATTATTATTATGATTATAGCCATTACTAATATATATATATATATATAATATTATTTGAAATGATTATACTATATATATATATAATATTTTTCTCCTATTATATTATTTATTAGTTTTTTTTCGTTATATTACAATATTGTTTTCAATTTTTTATATCTCTATCTTTATATCACTATATATTTAATTTTACATTTTTTTTCTGACCTCCCTGTGCTCTCTATCTATCTATCTTTTCAATAGCATCACCGATATTCATGTCCAGTGGTCCAGAAGTGTCCAATACATAAGCATAAGGTGTGCGGAACTGATGGCAAACTATACGACTCGAGATGTCATTTAAGGTATGGGTTATCCTATTATTACTATTATTATTATTATTATTGAATATAAAATTATTTTTTTTAGGTAAAAATGTTGTTATCATTATATTAGGTGTGTGTGTGTGTGTGTGTGTGTGTGTGTGCTATGAAATCAATAATTTTATAGCAATTTTTATTGTTTATATTATATATATATATATATATATATATATGTTGTGAGGTATCATAAAATTATTAATTTTTTATTGAGGAAATAAAATAAGAAATTTTTGATTTTATTATTTTTTATATTATATATTATATATTTCACTGCAAAATGTATATACGTTTTAAATATGATATTTAATTTGTTGATAAATATTTTTTTAAAACCTTTTTTTTAACTAAATGCTTGTTTTTTATATTTATAGAAATTTATAAGTTATATATATATATATAATGATAAGAAAATTATTATTTATTTATTTTTTTATTATTAAATTATCTTTAGAAAAAATTATATTTATGTATTGAATATATATTTTTTTAAAGAAATATATTAAATTACATTAAAAAAAACATAAATATTGATTAATTTTGAAATCCATATATATATATAAATAATATTTAATGAAAATTTTATTTCTAAATATAAAGTAAAAAAAATATTATTTCTATAATAGAAAATATATCTATTTCTATATAAAAAAAACTAAAAGAAAACTATAATTTTTATTTCAAAAAAAAAATTATTTTCATTACTATTATTATTGATTTTATATATCGATAGTACAGTATATACTGTATATATATATAAAGATATATAATATTGTGAATACATTAGTAAAATAAATAGGACATACATTTTTTTGAAGACATTAGTAAATACTGATATTATATAAATATATATATATATATATAATATATATATAAGCCTATATATATATACAGTATATAGATATTTATATAAAGTTATATATCAAGTGTGTGACTGTATAGCATTATATATTTAGGCTTATATTTAGTACATATCCACACAAACACATATAAAAAAAATAAATATTATTTGAGGTTTATTATAAATGTGTGTTTATATATATATATATTGATATATTATAATATATATATATTATCAGTAACATTGATGTTTAATGTAATACAAGTGGTATCAATATATTATATACAGATATATATATACAGTACATACCGTATATCTTGGATGGCATACCAGTGCTTAAAGATTATATTTAATATACACACACATACACAGTGTCTTATAGTAATATTTTTTTGGGGGCATAAGTTTATATAATAATAATATCAAATATATACAGTATATGCTGTATATACTGTATAATCATATATCCTGTATATATCTATTATATATATATATATATGATTTAATATATTCAGCGCTCAAAATATGTTTTATATATTATATATATATACTGTATATATAAGTTATAGTGAATAGTATGTGATATTTATTAATTCAAAGCAACAAAAAATACATTTACTTTTTTTATATATAATTTTGATTTTAGATTTGAATTTTAATGCATAAAAATATTGTAATAATAATAATAATAATAATACTTATGTTTTTTAGTTTATTGCATATACTATGTGTGTGTGTATATACTGTACTCTATATATGTTATAGAAAAATAATATTTTATAATATTTATTAATATTAAATAAATTGATAGCATTTACCATTTATATACTATTTTGGGAAATATATATACAGTATATAATATATTTTGTTTCATTATATATACAGTATATACTATACTACTAAAAATATAATATTATTGCAATACTTAATATGTATTATTTTTTTTCGAGAGGATAGAAATCAAATTTTCTTTTAGTTTTTTATATGTCAGTAAAAAAAGTAATTTAAATATGATTTTATCTGATAAAAAAATATTTTAACATTGAATTAGTTATTTTATATCATATATATATATATAGTGTATTATAGTATACAATATACAGTATATTATAGATTCTGTAATATTCTGCACATATTTTTTTAGACATTAAATCCATACAAGAATTTATCACAAATTATATTAAACTTTATATATATATATATATAATATAATATATAAAAGTATAAATTTATTCACACACACACACAAAATAATAATAAATTTTGTATCAAATTATAAATATATAAACTTATATAAAGTATTTTTCCTAATAGTATGATAATGATAGTCAACCCTTACATTAGTTTATGTAACGATAATCGACACTAATATCCTATATATATATGTATATGTATTATCAATATATATATATATAATATTTAGCATAACTTTCCTCTACTAATTTTTAATGACATGACTGAGAGCACACACACACACACACACATACATACACACACCGACACACTTGAACCGGTACTTTACAACAAATAAAGAGTCATTAATTAGATATAATTTTTTGATAGATTCCTGTATTTTGCCTAAAGTGACAGCCAGTCAACCACCAGTGCCAGTGCCAGTGTGTGTGTGTGTGTGTGTGTGTGCAGTGATACCAGTGCTTTATATGATATATATACTGTGTGTGTATATATATATATCTATGCTGGAAATACACATAGGAATACATGGAAAAAAATATATATTTCTAGATTGTATATAATTTGTAATACATATTACATAGTATAATGTAATGTTAGTAACCTAACCAACCCTACCATCTCAATGTACAGTACACACTGTATACAGTGTATATAAGCTGATGATGTATCACCATATGGACTGATACATACAGTACATTATCAATAAGCAAACATAAATTATACATTAAAAATCCTTTACATAAAAATATATATAAATGTATTTTTTGTTGTTGGTATAGATATATATAGTATATATATATATATATATTATATATTTAATTGAAATTTTGTGTAATCTTATAAATTATTGATATATATAACAAAAATATATAACAAATATATATAGATATATAACAAAAAATAGTTGAACCGATAGATATAAAATTTATAAATGTTTAATTTATAAATAAATATAATATATATTTATCTATATATAGTATAATATATCTAAAAATTTTTAATATTAAATATATTTAAAAGAAAATTTTACAATTTTATTTTTTTACAAAAAAAAATAATTTATTTATCTTTATATTTTTTCTATACTACATATAGAGAAAAAAAATTCTTTTAAAAATATTATTATTAAATAAAAATATTTTTTTATTTTATTTTATTTTTTTTTGCTCATTTTGACCATAGATTGTCAACTTTTCAATTTTTAAACACATAGACATAATAATAGGAAAAAAGCTACCAGTGCTCAATTCAATAGATATATATATATATTGAATATATACTATACAATAGACACTTGTGTTTTGCCCATATATTTGTGGACACAAAAGCAAGCAAATAATATATATATATATATATATATATATATATATATATATATATATATATATATATATATATATATATATATATATATATATATATATATATATATATATATATATATATATATATATATATATATAAAAATCGCTAAAAATTCGTCTCTTGAGATATACTGTACTCTCTCTCTCTCTCTCTCTCTCTCTCTCTCTCTCTCTCTATATATATATATATATATATATATATATATATATATATATATATATAGTGAAATGTTTTGACAGTAACAACAAAAATAAAATGAGATCAAAAATAATAATACAAACAACAAAAAAAACATTGCGATTAAGTTTTTAATGTTTAAGAATTGTTTAGGCAGTGAGTCAGTGAAAGTCATTATAAAAAAAGCTAAACAAAAAAAACTAATAGAGAGAAAAATAAAACAATATATATATATACAATATATATATACCCGACTTTAACTCCCTAAGCGTCAGTGTGTATGTATGTGTGTGTATGTGTGTTTGTATGTGTGTGTATGTGTATGTGTGTGTGTGTGTGTGTGTGTGTGTGTGTGTTTGTATGTGTCTGTATGTATGTATATGTGTTAATGTATGTGTGTGTATGTGTGTGTATGTATGTGTGTATGAATGTGTGTATGTCATAAAAAATAGCAAATCATGACTTACATAACAACAACAATATACTAGAATTAATATAATATATATTTTTCTAAATACACATTTAAAATGATAAATTAGTCAACTGGGGTTATAAAAATAAATAATATATATAAAAAAATACTGTACATAATATTATCATGCTAATTTTAATATATATATATAAACATATTTGATGATATATTATATAAATTTTATATAATATTATTTTTTATATATGTTTTTATATATGTAATATTCATGCAGTGATATGAAAATATATAATATTATATATATATAAAAATGCACTTAAAATATATTTATGATAGCACTTTATTAGGGCGTTATCTCTTTTATATATTGTATATATATATATATATATATTGATATATTAAATATATATATATATATTGATATATTAAATATATATATATATATATTAAATATATGTGTGTTATATAATAAACGATGATGTGTTAAATAATGTTTTATTTTTTTAATTTTTTTTAAATAAATATATATAATATATTCTATATTATTATCATTATCAAAAAAACTAGTAATTATCAATTCAAAACATATAAGCTATCAATTTGCTATCTATAAATTTATACAATTCAATTTCAAATTTTTTTTATCTAATGCCATAATAATAATAATACAATTACATACAGGTTTCATATATATATATATATAAATGTTATTTGAGATACTAGTGCTCTACACACACAAACACATACATACACACATATACACACACATACACACATACACACATACACACACATATACACACATACACACATACACACACATACACACACATACACACACATACACACATACACACACATACAAAATCAATGCAATGATTATAGTTAGAGATAATATACAATATAATATTTTTTTATCATCACATTTGAGTGTCTCTCATAAAAAATTTTTTTTTGTGTCCTATTATTGTATTATATTTGAAAAGTCCTATTATTTTACGGTTATACAGTACAACAATACTACTAGTAGTACTACTATTACTGATAACAACATAATACAATAATAATACTAATAATAATTGCTTTAATACAATAATATCTAGTAGTATCCTAATTGACTGATACACTAAATATATATATATGTGTACAATATATGTATAGAAAAATATATATCATATACAATATATATACTTATATAATATATTTAATGTCTAACCCCTACCACTCCACTACCCCCTCCCAATCTAAACAGGAAAATAGCATGCGAAACTGGGAAAGCCGTTAGAGCTGCCCATCCCGATCGGTGTACCACTAGTATCGATGATGATGATGATGATGATGGGGACAGGGATGTAGTGGTGATGGACAGTACCGACATCAATAACAACCACAACAACAAAATTAATGATGACAACACTGATACTGCCGGCACCTATACTACACCACAAGCACCGGCACCACTAGTAGATGATGACTCACTACTTAACAACAATGAGGACAATACATACAATAATAATAATAATAACGGCGCCGATGATGACTGTCTGCCCAAACAGTATGATCTGATGAAACAACAACTTCTACAGAAAAGTATGAATTTATTTTGGATTTTATTTATTTTATTTTATTTTTTTGTATTTTATTTGTTTTGGGTTTTTTTGTGTGCTATTAAATTAATAATAATATCCATTAGTTTTTTTTATTATTATTGCAGTTATTAGTAGTAATATTAATGTCATTTTATTTTATATATAAATTACTAAAATAAATATATAGAATATTCTGTGATTTATTTTTTTCAATTTTATGTGTTTCATTAATTTTAATACGATATATACAGTATATAGTATATAAACACTAATTGCATTAAATATTATATCAATATATGTATAAAAATCTTCATTATTTTAAATTAACCTTTAATTAAGTTTTTTTGGGGTTAATTATTAACTGTCACAAAATTATAGTATGATTTAGTATATATATATATATATATACCGTATAAAGTTATAATTAAAACATATTAAAGTATATTTTATACTTTATCTAAGCTAGCATTATATATACAGTATTATATAAATATATATGACTGTATGTGTGTGTATGACTGTATATATATGTGTGTGTATGACTGTATGTATATATGTGTGTGTGTATGACTGTATGTGTGTGTGTTTGTGTGTGTATGACTGTATGTATATGTGTGTGTGTGTATGATTGTATGTGTGTGTGTGTGTGTGTGTGTGTGTGTGTGTGACTGTATGTATATGTGTGTGTGTGTATGACTCTATGTGTGTGTGTGTGTGTGTGTGTGACTGTATGTGTGTATAATATATATATATATATATATCTGTCCATTGGTTGCCATCTAATCCATGGGTAAACGATTGCTTTACCGGTTTACTTACGGAACATTACATCGAAAATAAATAAATATATAAAAAATAAAAAGCAACTAAAACTAAAACTAAAAACTAAAATAAAAACTAAATGTTTTTTATATATATATGTACCGTAAAAATAAAATGTTAAATAATATGAATTTTATGGGCCCATAGTTTTCAATGTTGAGAGAGAGATAGGAATGGGAGCTCAAAAAAATGCCGTTAAATGCAATGAAAATATCCATTTCACAAATATATTGCAAATAATAATAATAAAAAACATGTTTTTATTTTTTTATATTTATCTAATATTAATAATAGTAACTAATAATAATAATAATAAAATTCAAATAGTATTAAATAGAAATCATTGATTATTATTTTTAATTATATATATATAATAATTCATGTAATAAATAAATTTTTTATTATATAAATAATTGCATTATATATATAATACTGTACTTTATATATATAATTTGCAAATTAATTTTTACGCTAATTATGGTTAGTGAAAAAATGATTGATTAATAATTTTCATTTTTTTTAGTTTTTATATTATAAATATTTTTTCATTGAGTTTTATATATTGTCACAAATTTTTTTTATCACATTTATTAGATTTATCTTAATTTTTAATGTTTGAAGAGAGAGAGAGAGAGAGAGAGAGAGAGAGAGARAGAGAAAATGGTTACAATTTTTATGTATATATATTTCTCAGTAATGATAATAATTATGTTTGCTTTTAGGGAACAAATTAGTTTCAAATTCAAGTCCTATATAATGACATATAAAATAATAATAATAATACAGAATATTCTGTTAGTGTATTCATTAATAATAATAATAATATTAATACTATAATATTCTCCCCTATATTTTCATTTCATATTATAAAACAGTAGTCGARAGAGAGAGAGAGAGACCAGAAATTAATGAAAACTAATTTTAGGGCTTTCCTCTCAACAATTATGTASCGAAAAAAAATCTGACTACACATACATACATCCATCCATACGTGTTGTCAGTTTTCCCATCCCTTTCCTAACTACTACTCCTAACAAAAATGCCTTTACATTTGCTGTTCAAACATATACACTGTAAATACTATGCATATATATATATATAACTTATATATACTGTATATTGTTTTACCGCAATATATATATATGAAGTAATAGTATAACATTATATATATTATATAACACACTTGATATCATTGAAGTAGTAGTGGTCCATAATATATGAGCAAAAAAACCTCAAGTTTTTTGTTGTTAGTGAAAGAGAGAGAGAGAGAGAGAGAGAGAGAGAGAGAGAGAGAGACTATTCATCGTTTTCTAACTTTCCATATGGAAAGACATACACATTGAGAACATAGGGCTCTCTCTCTCTCTCTCTCTCTCTCTCTCTCTCTTTCACGGCATCCATAAGCTGACAGGCAATGACTTATTATTATTACTACAATTTTTTTCTCTCTCTCTCTCTTAGAGACCATATTCTTGACTTTTTAGATATATTTTATTGATATATACATTATATATATATATKATATATATATACCAAATATATATATGATATAGCATTTTCATCTATTCTGCTATCCATTGATTTTTGACCATGCACACATATAAAAAAAAATTATATCATATAATAAACAGTGATAAAGTGGGAAATATATGATAGATAATACATAGATAGATAATATATAGTATAGTATATTGAAGGGGAACGTTATGTAAAAGTCATATATTATATATATATGTATTCACACACTTGGAATTGTATGGCTATATTATATGCTCTCTCTCTCTACTCTCTCTCTCTCTCTCTCTCTCTCTCTCTCTCTTTTCTCTCTCTCTACTCTCTCTCTCTACTCTCTCTCTCTTAAAAAACATACACTAAATTTCACTACACTTTTCACACAAACAAACTCTTTTCAATTGCTATAATATAAGAAATTGCAATAAGAAATGTGTCAAACATTAAGCTCAACGATTGTATTGAGTGCACACAGTTATGTGTGTGGCACTGGTATATATACAGTCAACCAGTCAGTCAGTCAATAAATGGTATGAAAAAAAACGATATTATTTGATAGCAATAGTGCAAATATAAGCAAAAAATATATATATATATAAATATATCCATATTTTTTGGTATCTATTCATATATATATATATATATACTGTAATTCCTATGAGAGATACTACTGTACTATCCATACACACACACACACACACAATGTGTGAAATATTATTTCAAATGCTAATAATATTGACGATAAAAATGATGATTATAATAATAATAATATTGTTATTTTTATTATTATTATTATTATTATACAGTACTGTATATAAATGTGTGCTTAATATTCAATAATTTTTTTTCGGGCAGAAAATAAACTACACATTCATGTAATTTGAATATTGAAATATTCTGTATATATACTGTATATACTCTATAATATTATATTACAATAAATATATATATTTATATATTTATATAGCATATTAATAGATAATATTCTCCCTAAATAGTTATATATATATTGATATATATTATATTACGAGTCTATTATGTTAAAGTGAATCTCCATTTAATTTATATATTTTCATTGATTTATACTTTACTGATATACATATACATATATATATTATATATTTAGTATATATATATATATATTTAAATAATAACTATACCCATGTTATGTAACAGTAGTAGTAGTAGTAGTAGTGTATAAATATTGTATTTATTGATTAAAATAAAAAGGAGAGTACATATTAAATAAGCGAAAAATATATAATACAATACAACATAGAAAAATAAAATAAGTTTTCTTCATATTAAATATTTACATAATTTATTCATCATATTTCTCTTATTTATATATATATATATATATATATATACTGTATTTATATATATTATTTCATATATATATATATACATTATATTAATATATTATAAAAATGCAGAGATAAATATGTGCAGACAAAGTGTATATTTATTTACTCACTTAAATCTCTCTCTCTCTCTCTCTCTCTCTCTCTCTCTCTCTCTCTCTCTCTCTCTCTCTCTCTCTCTCTCTATTAAAAACACACACTCATCAGCTATTCATATGTATTCATATATATAATGTAAATCTTGAGTTAATTTAATCAAATATTTTTCRTAAAATAAATTGAAACGGCTGTACTGTATGTTTAGTACAAAATACAATAAATACATATTTGTATTATATCTATATACACACACACACATACACATAGTATAATGTGTACTAAAATTTATATAATTATGTTTATAATTATATTATTTTTGTCTCTGTCTATACTGTATATTCATCATTATATATATAATGGTATAATATCTTGAAATATATACAATATAATGTATATATATATATATATTAAATATAATTGAAAAATATTATATTAAATAAATTCCTATTCGTATATATACAGTATATATATATAAATTGTTTTGAATTATGAGTGTTTCCTCTCATAATAGATACAGAATATTCTGTACAATGACTGGTAAGTGCTTTCAATCACTAAACAATTTTGTTTACCCCTCCTCTAGAAATACTATTAGTAGTGTTGTTGTTGTTATTTGTCTAAACTATAGATACCATTGAAATAGAGAGAGAGAGAGAGAGAGAGAGAGAGAGAGAGAGAGAGAGAGAGGAATGGGAGACTAAAAACATGAAATTTCTACAAAAATTGTACTAAATTTTTAGAGGATAAGCCTATTGTGTTGTGTAAGGGATAGGGGGACTACACATACACATACAAACACACACACAGCAGGATATAGACTATTATTATTATGAGTATTAAATTTTTTTATTGTTTTGTACGATAAGTACTGTACAACCAATATCACAGACACTCTAGAAATGTAAGCTTTTTTTATGGTATATACTGTATATTAATATATATGTTGTTAAACAATAATCATAAATATCATACAATAATCTATAAGTATGTTTGGGTGTTTGAAAGTTTGAAAATAAATATTATAAAAATATTATTTATTTATTTTTGTTTAAAAATAAGATATAATACACAAAATTTATAAAGTTGTATAAAGAAAATAATAAATAAATAAAAATTGTTTTTTTTATTTATATTGATATATCAATATATATATTTTTAATCATTTGAGTGTAGTGTCAATATTTATTATTATATTTATTATTATTAATCTCATTGTAGTATTAATATATATAATAGTTATAAATATTATATTATCCTAAACTTAAACTAGATAAATTACTAATTTAATTTGAAATAATATATCCAGCTAATTTTTTAGGTTATAAATTATTTATTTATTTTTCTATATTTACTAAACAATTAGTTTATAATTTATTATTACATTTAATACCGGTATATACAATATATACCTGTATATAGGGTTACAATCGCATGTATGTATGTATGTATGTATGTGTGTGTGTGTGTGTGTGTGTGTGTGTGTGGTGTGTGTGTGTRTGTGACACACGATATCAACCAATTTAGCTACCAATCCATTGTTGAATACTTTAGGGACAGTCATACTAAACAAAAAACTATACACCAATTCAGTGGGTCGTCACGGATATGTCATATTATATATGTCACAGATCTCATGATATATATATATATATTATATCAAATACTTTAATATTATATCAAATATATATAATATTTATCATATAATTGTCCAGAAAATAATTGTATGTTTTTTTGGGGATAAACTAAAGAAAACCAATTATTAGTATTATTATTATTATTACATACAACTAACTACCATTTTTTACTGTATTTTTTTCTCTCTCAAATAAACAAGTAGTTTAGATATATATATATATATATAGACAAACCTAACTGTCCTCTAAATGTTATGTCATCTCATGTCTTATATTTATTTATTTCTGTATTGTATTTATACAGTATTTATAACTTAATATACTTTATACTGATATTTCAAGTGTCATTGCGTGTGTAATCAATAAATAAATATATATTTTTATTTTTATTTTAAATAAAAAACTTTTATTTTACTTAACAGTAATAATAATAATAATACAATAGTTTAATATAAAATATTTAATAACAATATTTATTTCAATATACTATTAAATTTAAACAACAAATACTTTTAGTATATATTTATAACTTATTGTTTTATTTATTGTTTTTTTTTAGTTACAAACATAGTTTAATACTAATAAATAAATAAATATAATTAAAAAACTAATTGATTATATATTAACTATTTTTTTATTTATTTTCTATTTCATGTCCATATTGTTTGCACCACTAAAACAATCTCAACAAACAAAAAAACTTTTCATATATATATATATATATATATATATTGACAACATTTAATATATATTACATGGATTTATATATTAAAATAAATAAATAAATAAATAATAATATAAAACATTAGCCAATGATTTGTCGCTTTTGTTTACCCATTTGGACGATGACGGCGACGGAGAGATTAATATTAATGAATTGTGGAGACACTCAAACATTTATAAGGTATGTATGGATATGGATATGACTGTCCACTTGTAGTACAGTATTAATATACCGTATAAAATAACACCCGTCTAATAAAATAACACCCCATAAGTAATAGTTATATAATACTGTATAATATATATATTGTGTATATACATAAAATCCCTGATAAATCACTTAACAACATATATATATATATATAACATATATTATAGTATAACTGTCTACTATATATATATATATATATATAACAATATTAATTTTTTTCAATATATATGCTTATTATTGTTTAGTACCTATAGTTTATTATATAAGTATAAAAAATAATAAAATACAATATACTTTATATAATAATAATAATAATAAGACATTAAATTTTAATTATGTATGTGTTTTATAACCAATCTATAGACAATAAAAACAGTATAACCTATCCCTTAGAGATATATATATACACTAAATAATAATAATAATAATAATAATAATAATAATAATWATTATTATTATTATTATTATTATTATTATTATTATTATTATTATTATTATTATTATTATTATTATTATTATTATTACTATTATTAGTACCTAGATAATTTTTTATGTTGTTGATTATTACAGTTTTATTTTTATATATATATCAATAGATATATAGTTTTAATTTAATTTTTTTAGAGTTTATATTTTATTTTTTATTTTTGTGCTGAAGTGCTATTTGTTTAGGATATCATCAAAAAAAAAATTTTTTTTTGTTTTTTTATTAGTGTATATTTTATGTCAATATGTATTTTTTTATTTTTATTTTGTTGATAATAAATTGGTAGTTATTTTTTTGTTTAGTTTTGTTTATCACCCAAAAGGCATCGTTTAGTTACACATATGTTATATCCATTATATACAGTGTTTAGTATAAATGATACTCATATTTGTATTGAAATATATTTTGTTTAAAGTTTTATTTTTTTATTAGTAGTAGTATTTTGGCTAAATTGCAATAATAATAATAATAATAATTTTCAAAAAAAAAATTTTGTTTTGTAATAAAAGTTTTATTTTTAAAATGGATTTTTGTTTTGTTTAGTATTTTTTTGTTGTTGAAAAAAATCAATTTCAATCACAAAAAAATGTGATTTGAAAAAAAATATTGTATATACAGTATATATATAATAGAAAATAATCTATGATTTATTTGCAAATTATTATTACTGTAATTTTTATTATTTTTTTGTTGTAAACAAATTGAACAAAAAAAAATTGAATTTGCAATTTTTTATTAAGATTTTTATTTACTTATTATATTAAAAATTTATATATATATTTTTATGTAGTCATACTATTAGGCATAATAGCTGATAATAATTTAATATATAAATAAAATACAAAAAAAATAATACAATTTTTTGTTGTTGTTGTTGTCAAACCCCTTAAAACATTAATAACTAAAATATATTGAAAGAAATAGAGAGATAAATAAATAAATTATTATTTATTTATTTTTTGTCGATTCTTTCAACAAAAAAATAAATAAATAAATAAAATCTTTATTAAATATATATATAAGTTTTTTTTTGTGTCCAATATTTATGTCAATTTTATTCATTAATTTTTTGTATTATTATTATTATTACTACTACTATTGAATTCAGTATTAAATTAGTACTACTGTGTTGTTCCCTATATTATAGTATATTTCCAGTTCCCCCCACCCTTTATATACCTACCAGTGCTTGAATTTAGTATTATATTGTTGTCTAACTAACTAAATAAAACATAACTATAAATATATTAACTGACTGTCTCTTTATATATATTTTTGATACAAACAAAAAAATCAAATCTCATACAAAACAATTGGACGGACGGACGGTTATATAGCCGGCGGACACGTCATCGACATGTATACTAACTGAGCTATTAGTACACGAAGACAGCAATAGAGACGAAAATCTTGATTTCAGTGAATTTCAAAATGCATTCAACAAACTATACAGTAAGTGATAAGTAATAATAATAATAATAATAATAATTGACAGCTTTTGTAATGGGTTGTCATATAATTGTATAGCCTATGACACCTACCCCTCTACTACCCATCCCACCCYCCCCTATCAACATGACATTAGTTAGACATATATATATATATATATATATATATATATATATATATATATATATATATACACACACACACACTCACTCACTCACACACCCGCGCGTCTAAATCATCACTAAATAAATGAATTCCTATGTTTGACATATATATATTACTTCAGTATATATTATTGACAACTATACTCATATATATATATCTATATATATATATATATATATATATAGATACAGTCTATTATAAAATTGTTTGAACAAAAAAAAAATAAATAAAAATAAAATAAATACTGTATATCAAAAATCAACAACAAAAATAATTCAATTGATTTTGATTTTGAACTATTGTATAGAATTTTTGTTGTTGTTTAGGGTTTATTGTTGTTATATTTGTTGTTGTATTGAACTTTAACTTTAAGTTTTTTTTGTTATTATTATTATTATTATTATTATACAATACTCAGAAAATGTGTGCTCTATTGTTAGTGAAAAATATATATTTTCTATATATATATATATATAAATGCATAGAATATTTATGTATAATACAAGAATATTCTGTATATAAATATATTAAATATTTAATACAAACATTATTATTTTTTCTCGTACAGTATTAGTAATAATTGATTAACTAATTTATTAAATTGGACAGGGACCAATGGGTTAAATAATTAAATTGTGTCAAAACAAATAAGCAAATTAATTTATTTATATATATAGATTTCAATATACATTTTTACACACGAATAAGCAAGCACACATATAATTTAATTAAAATAGTTAGTTTTTTGAGCCCAAATAAACAAATAAATAATAATAATAATAATATAATATAACAAAATGACAAACAAATTTGTATGGAGACTACTATCGATTAATTTGTACTATCGATCCAACAACAACAAAAAATAATGGCTAAACAGTTATACATACACATAGCTATACACCCACACACACACACACACACACACACTATAAAATAGCCTCAATAACCCTATCAAAAACATACCAGTGCTTGATATGCCATATGTAGATAAATTATATATATATATATCCAATTTTTATTATGCTATTATATTATATGTATATATATATATATATATATATATATATATATATAAAACACAATTTATTTTTATATTATAACAATATATTGATATATATATATATATATAATACTAGAATCTAATGTCTCCATTGAATTAGACACTATATAACACACTTGACATTAACAATGGCTATTATAAATAAATATTATTATTATTATAAAACATTGTATATATATATAAAGTAAGACATATAATAATAATAATAAATCTATGGTTAATAATAACCATTGCATTGATATAATACAGATCTATGTATGTATGTATGTCTAGTGTAATGTCTAATACACACACACACCATAATCCCGGGGTATTTGCTATTTGTATGGGTATTATGTAACTGCAAATACTGTATATATCATATATAGATTCATATATTAATATCTACTGTATATATATATATATGATAATACAATAATAATAACACATAAAATAGCAAATATTTATAATATTTTAGGTTTTATATCCATAAGTTTTATTTAGATATTATTTTATAAAAATATTTGTCTATTGTATATATATATATATGATATTTATAMTAATAAGATAKAATAATTTTTATATAAATTTAATAATCTTTATGATTATAYTATGAAAAATTAAATCCTATTAGAGTATTATATTTATTATATATACTAAATATTTCACATTTAATAATAATAATAATAATAAAGTTAAWATAAATTGTATTAAAGTTTATACTAATAAATAATTTATTTTCAAAATAAATTAAATTTTTAAAGATATATAATAATTAAAGTTTAAGTAAAAACATAATTTAAATAATTAAAAAAAATAATTACCACAAAATAAGTTTAATAATATTATAATATAAGTATTCTACAATTGAAACTGTCCGAAATTAAAACAAATTTTAAAGTTAATTTATTCGAAAACTACAAATGATAAAAAATCATAAAATTTACATATATGATTATAATATTTAGGTAAATAAACAATGTCATTTTAAAAAATTTTTCATATGTATTTTTTGCAAAAAAGTAAAAATGACATTTTTTACATCATGTTATATATTGTAATTTGTTTAAACAAATATTTAAAAATACAATTTAAAATTAATCTTAAAGTACACTAACAGGACTATATTTACAACTAACAATAACTTTATATTCAGACTCTTTTATTGTGTTTTAAATTCTTTAAATCACATACTTTTAAATAAAATAAGCATCATAGATTAATTCAATTGTTTTTTTTATTAAAATTTAAATATTAAATATAAACTATTTATTATATATTAGTATATATGTCATTTGATATAATAATTATAAAATTGATAGATATTTTCAATCAAATAATAAAATATGTTGAAATTATCACACATAACGAAAATTTTTTAGTTTTAAGATAAAATTATCTACTTAAATATAAATTTGTTTTTTATAATTCTGCTTATCATTAGTAGATACTTATATACATACTATTCATGAAAGAAAATTAAATATATCTCACTTAAAGAAAAAGTTAGACATAATTTTATAAGATATAGTACATGATTCAGCAAATTACAAAAAGTCATTATATTTATTTTTATATATTTGTCATTAAGAAGAAACAAGCTAGCTCTAACAGTGTGGCATTTAAAGTCAAGTATATTGTTAGACGGATAACATGATAACTTTAGATTTTTAACAATTATATGTAACAATATAATGCTAAACAATTTAGCTTTAGTTCTGACAATTATTTTATTATAAAATTTTAAATATTAATATTAAAATTTTGAAAACTTTTCTGAACAATCATCTAGGCTAATATTATTTAATGAAATATTATCACATTGGAATTTATTATTATAACATTAAATAATCACTATAATTAAAAAATTTGTTTAGTCAAATTTGAATGTCTTTTACTAAAATGATAATAATTGGTAAAATATAGAAAAACTAAATTCAAATAATTGTAAAATGTAAATATAAATAATCGACCTTTTTTATTTAAAAAGAATCACATTTTTATCTTTATTAGTTGCATCATAATAATAACGTAAAAATTGATGTACTAAAACGGTCATTACTTGTTATATAATGCTTATAATATTAATGTTAATAATTAAATGGTTAAAAATATTACTATAAATTCAAACATTGCTTATAAAATAAAAAATATTTATTTATTTTTTTGAAATTTTTTTAAAAAATGTATCAATAGGTGTAACAATGGTAACATTGGATCAATCGTTGGCCATCAATCATGTCCAGGCTCATGTAGGTGACAATGTTGAAATCAGGTGCGATATAGTGGGCGAACCGCAACCGCCGGCCATCAAATGGACCCGCAATGATGTCGACCTAAACAATGTCAATGTTGGCAACATTAAGGTTAGTTTCCCATTGGGGTGGGGTTGACTAGATTGGGGGTWATTTACCATTTATTTWTTTKTATTAGATAGATAGGTATTATTACCACAATATTAGTTGTTGTTGTTGTTGTTGTGATTAATTATTTTAGTTATTTTATTTTTGTTAATAAATATTATATACTGTTTATATAATAAATTGTTATATTTATTAATGAAAAAAAATATTTTATTTATTTATTTTTTCATTATTACCATTAAATTATGTTTTTAATCATTTATTTTGCACATAAAGATTAGTGTGTGTGTCTAGTGATTGATTGATTGCTATAGTGTATGTATGTGTGTATGTGTGTATGTGTGTATGTGTGTATGTGTGTATGTGTGTATGTGTGTATGTGTGTATGTGTGTATGTGTGTATGTGTGTATGTGTGTATGTGTGTATGTGTGTATGTGTGTATGTGTGTATGTGTGTATGTGTGTATGTGTGTATGTGTGTRTGTGTATGTWTGTGTGTRTGTGTGTATGTATGTGTGTGTATGTGTGTGTGTGTGTGTGTGTGTGTGTGTCTATCAATGACATAAAATAGCTAACAATGATAAATAGCGCACTCATATCACTGTATGTGTATGTATTGTCTAATAAAACTAAAATAGTTATACAACATCAACACAACAAAAGTGTTACAACAGTTATAATCACCTGAAGAAAAAGAATTATTATTATTTTTTTTGTGATGATATTGATTGTTATTTTTTGTTGTTTTATATGACTATCCATTAATATAGGTGTTCAGCGATGGATCACTGTATCTAACGAACGTACAGCTGTCGTTCAGTGGGAACTATACCTGTCAGGCCATTAATAATCCAATGGTCAAACAGGTCCATGTTTTGCACACTAGCAGTGAGTATAGTTAGATATTGAACTATCCCATAGACACACACATAAACATAGACACTCATACACATACACATACACATACACATACACATACACATACACATACACATACACATACACATACACATACACATACACATACACATACACATACACATACACATACACATACACATACACATACTATATCATTGACATAACCACTGGAAAAATCAGATTCAAAAAAAACCAATTAATGAATCATTAATTATATTATTTTTTATGATATGTGTTCACATAAGTTATATATTATATTTAAAAAAATCTATTTATTGATAATATCAAAACATAAACATATATAACACTATATACACACAAAAAAACCAATAAAAATCATTAATTATATTTTTAATCATTATTATCGAAACACATATATATTTTTTATTATATGTTTGCTATTAATATACCGATACTATTAATAATAGTAATAGTAATAGTAATAACAATAATAATAATAATATGCTATTAATAATATATATATACAAAACTTTTTTACATACAAACAAAAAACTATTTGTTTTCAAACTTATCAAACAAACAAACAATATATCAATAAATAAATAAATCACATAAAAAAACAATATTTAATCAATAATTATAGTTAATATTATATACAGTATTATTACTTTTTTATAAATGATAAATAAAATTATTATTAATAATATTATTACAACTCTACCTAAAATTTAAAAAAAATAAAAATCATCATCAGTTGCACCGTTAGTCGAAGTATCGCCACGTTTTCAATGGGAACCGATTGGCGGTATGGCTACCATCGAGTGCCGATACGAAACATTTGAACCGGACATCACTATTGAGTGGTATAAAAACGAGGAACTCCTACTGAGTAATCAGCGTACAACCATTATGAACAATGGTACCCGGGTCCAGTTGGGTCAACTGGAACGTACAGATACCGGTGCCTATACTTGCCGTGTGTCCGACCGACACGACACCAGCAACGGTATGGACGTGGCATCGTTGCTCATACAGGACGAAGCGGTATCGGTTCAGGTGGTGGCCACTGACGGTAGTTCCTCAGGTGGTGGTAGCGGTGGCCAACAACAGGAACGCCTATGGGTTTTCCACGGTAACGGTGTGTCCATCTATAATGGCGGATGCGATGGACTCCTTCATGAACTCGACGGCCGCGATATTATACCCCAGTCAGGCCTAACACTGTGCGGAGCTACCGATTCAGATCAGCTGGTCATATGTGAATGGTCAGAAAATTCGGTAGCCGTCAATGGCCGGGTATATGTCGGGCAACCAAACCTGAACCGTATTGTCGTATTTCATGGCCAACAGCTGAATGTTGTCCAAGTTATAGCTACCGATCCCCAACCGGTACGGTTGTGGTCAGTCGACAATGGTCTGGACGATCATCAGATTTGGGTACTGTGTTCGGGTACTAATCCGACAATGAAAGCTACCGGCGATATGTCGTCGGCCACCGGTGACGGCATCGTAGACGAAGATACTAACAGTTTCGGTGAGTTTGAGGCCACCGGCAGTCGTAAATCGCTTACCGATACCCTGGAGTTTGAATGGCAATACCCGTCACAGCGTCAACAGCAACACAATAGGAAAACAGTTCAAGTAATCAGACTGTCCTCAAACGTACATCAGCCCAATGTTGTACATTTGCAGCCAATCGACGGCCATTTTGATCTGGTCTACAATATGTTTGTACCGACATTCAGTCCGCAACGTTTGCATCTGAGACACGGTATCGCCAATCGGTAAGTCCTAACACGTGATAAAAATTTTATTTAGTTTTTTAAAAAAAATATATTTTAGTTAATAGTATTTACAAACTTATTATAAATATTAAAAAAGTTATATTATTATTGAATTAAATTTATTGCAAAATATAGTGTATATATGCGCTAAAAAATATATATATATTTTTTTTTTAAAAATAATTATTGATTTTTTTTGGTTTCAATTATTATTATTACTATTATATAATATAAGATATATTAATATAACTTAATGTTTAGGTTTGCGCTAATTAAAAAAAATGTCTATAAATTTATATTAATTATTATTATTATTATTATTATTATTGAATTATATGAATCTATTGCAATACTTATTAATTTATGTGCAACAAAAATAATACATTAATTAATTATTTATTTAAAAAAATATTAATAATAATATTTTGTTTTGTTTGCAATCATTATTATATATATATATATATACCTTAAAACATAATGTCTATAAATTTATAATTAAAATTATTGTTGATTTATTGCAATTTATTGCAATAATGACTGCAAATAGTAGTCATTAATTTAAAATTTTAAAAAATTTGATAAATAGTTATTTGAAAAAATAATTATTATAAAAATAAGTGTTTTATATATATATTTTAATTATTTACAAATATATTTGCATATATTTTATTGAATGTATAATTTAATGGTTTTAATGAAAAATTTCAATAACTTTTTTTTATTATTGGTATTCAATTCATTAAAATTTTGATAAATTTGAAAATTACAACAACAAATAATTAATTACAAATAATAATAATTTATTTTTTTTATTTTTTTCAATTTATTACACTAAAATATATAACTGATCGGAAACTGTGTACTAGAAATTGATTAAAAAAAATTTTTCAAAATTAACACAAAAAAAACTTATTATTTTATTATTCATTGCATTGTTATATATATAATACAATCGACTATAATATATATAATATATATATATATAAATTTACAGTACAAACACATATTGACTTATTTTTAGATTTTATATAATATACTTTAGTAGTAGTAGTATAGTCTACTAGTACTCAGTGTATACTGTATTAAGTGATCAACAAAATACAGTATACTCTATATATAGTATATATATATAAAGTCAAACTACTGGATGAAAGCACACAACTGACAACTAACTCATCCATCAATTAATTTGCAATCAATTATAGATTAGTCCATTTAATTTTTAATGGTGTGTACTGTATATATAACCATATATATATATATATATATATACACTATATAAATTTATAGTACATGAATACTGAAAATTGCAATTTTTATTATAAAAATATATATATAATTTTATTTAAAAAAATATTATTTATGTATTAATAGAAAATAACTGACAGTCCCGGGAGTTTAAAAAAATTATTTTTTTTGTTATATAATATAATAATAATAAATAAATTATGAATAGACTATTAAACTGATTATATTGTCTATCTATATGACTATCAATACGACATTACTCTCTATCTCTCTCTTTTACTCTCTCTCTCTCTCTCTCTCTCTCTCTCTCTCTCTCTCTCTCTCTCTCTCATTGAACAGTCAATGATATGTCTAAATGTAAAGAAAAATTAATGATAAAATTGATTGATTTTGACCTCATTTTCTTATATATATATATATATATATATATACAGTATTATACAATATAGAGATCTTATAGATACTGAAGTTTATATACATTAAATCAATAGTTTTTTTTTATATATATTGTATATAAAAAAGGGAAATAAATTTTTTCACAGTTTGTTTGAGTGAATGAGAGAGAGAGAGAGAGAGAGAGAGAGAAGAGAGAGAGAGAGAGAAATCTTTATATACAACACAACTCGTTCATCACAAATGAGATGACAATAAACTTAAATGACAGCAAAAAAAATCAAAAAATAAAAAACAACTTTATTTTGTATATATATATATATATATATATAGATTGTTGAAATCTATAATATATTGTATAAAACTTTTTTTTGCATTGTTTCTTATATACAGTATATATAGATTTCCTTTATATACAAAAAAAAGTTTATTTAATGTAATTTTTACTCTCTATATATAATATACAGTATAAACTATAATATGTTTACATATACTATGTCTATCAAGTGGTTATATACAGTATAATACTTTCTAAACTTTCTATATATAACTTTTATATACTGTATATATATTTTTTTGTGTCACTTATTAGTTAAGAGAGAAGAGAGAGAGAGAGAGAGAGAGAGAGAGAGAGAGAGAGAGAGTAGACTCACTTAAAATAAATCTCTTGCGATATCAAAAAGTTTTTTTAGTGTTTGTTTTAGCAGTGAATTAATGAGTGGAGAGAAAATAAAACTAATAGTAATCATATCCTTAGTATATATCAATATATATATATAACAAGTTGTCTTGTATTTTGAAAGTTTGGTCACAAAAAAAACAAATTAAAACTAAAAGTAATAGTAAATACATGTATATATCATATAACTGTATTATACAGTATTTAATCTCTTGAATTATTCAACACATAGAGTACAGTATATATATATATATATATATATATATATATATATATATGAGACCCTTAACTATTAGTAGTCATTAGTAAATACTGGGAAATACTAATAAATAAATATATGATATAAATATATATATATAAGTTATATATATATAAAAAGTTAATTAAAAATCTAGTATTATAAAACATCAGTGTAATAAAATATAGACAATCATTTGAAAGGTAAAAAATTTTAATAATAATAATATTATTATTGTAATAATAATATTATTATTGTAATAATAATAACACTCACAATTTATTGTTTTATTTTTTTTATTATTATTACTGTTTTTTGAGATTTTATTTTCCAAAACAAAATTAATTTTATATGATAAATATTATTATTATTATTATAAAAATTGTTTTTTTTAAGATAATTTAGATTTATTTATTATTATTATTATCATTAGATATTTGGTTGAACTTTGAAATTATTTTCAAATTAAAATAGACATTTACAGTATTTATTTTTTTGTTATAGCATTTTTATTATTTCAACTATATATGTATATATATATACAGTATATAAATTATATATATAAAGTACAGTATAGACTTAATATACAAATTTAAATATAAATTATATATATTTTATTTTTTATTTAAAGAAAATAAAAATCATTTTACATGTTTAAGCACTCACTTGAAGCCTATTTTGGATACAAAAAGCAATCAATTTTTATTTGAAAATTACTTTTTATTATATATATATATATATATATATATATATATATATATCTGACTATTATTATTATGTGTCAATTAAAGAGCTTTTACTGAGTATTTGGTATACATTTAAAAAAGTTAATCTTTTATTAGTTTTTTTTTGTTTTGATTTCAACTCTAATAATACTTAACTTTTATTAGTATTATTATCATTAAATAGTTATCCATTACAATGTACAGTATTTATATATATATAATATATATATATTATAACTATATATATATATAAATAGATATTTTAACTATTAATACTACAAGTATACTCTATAACCAGATAATAGGTGCGGGAACCGGGTGTTTAAGATAACAAACCATTAGAGGTTGACTATTAAATGTGTTGCTATAAAAAAGTACAGTACTTTATATATGATATATACTGAATGTATGTGCGGGTGATTATAGATACTGTAATATGTATGTACAGTATATGTATGTGTGTGATAAACAAATTTAATTTGTCTCATCTGATTAATGTGTCCAGATTAAATTAAATTAAAGTGTATGTGTATGTGTATGTGTATGTGTATGTGTATGTGTATGTGTATGTGTATGTGTATGTGTATGTGTATGTGTATGTGTATGTGTATGTGTATGTGTATGTGTATGTGTATGTGTATGTGTATGTGTATGTGTATGTGTATGTGTATGTGTATGTGTATGTGTATGTGTATGTGTATGTGTATGTGTATGTGTGTGTATTATGTATATTATGTAACGGTATGTCATTTATAAATGAATAGGCATTTAATGAAAAAATTTTATAATATATAAATAGGATTAACTGACAATCAATAGTGAAATTACTGTATAGTTTAGTTTTGACAATTAATTCAATATAAGTTATATATATATATATATACTGTATATATATATATATTAAGTAATTTAAATTTGATTGACATTTACAACAACAACAACAATACACACAAAGTTTTATTTTTGTAGACATTAAGCTTTTAAACTTATTTTTCAAATCGATTTTATTATTATTCTTAATTAAATTATAAATTTAAAAAAAAACTTGGATTTTAATCAAAAAACTTTTTAAAATTTTGTTTTTGGTTTGATTTTTTTTTTTGTTCAAAATATATATAGATTTTATTTTATTGTGTAAATGAATTACTACTACATTAAACATACTGTATATTATATACAGTATATAATATGAAATTAATCTATTATTATTTGTTATTTTATTAGGAATAATTATTCTATTTACAATTTTTAATTATCATGCTTAGTTTTTGAGATATTAAAGATAAACCTTTTTACCATTATATAAATTTAGTAACAAATATAATTAATAAAATTTTATAAGAAAAAATTATATAATGGTAAAAATGTTTTTCTTTAATATCTCAAAAACTAAGCATGATAATTAAAAATTATAAATAGAATAATTATTCCTAATAAAATAACAAATAATAATAGATTAATTTCATATCAAAATACCTTGACACTTTTTTTCTAGAAAATATCTAAATATTACAAATTTTACAATTTTTTGCTTTTTGTTTAAAATTTATTAATTTTTAAAAAAATTACTGAAATACGTGTCTAATGAATTTTCACCTAGTTTAAATTCACATTATCAGAATTTAGATATTTATTATAGTTTTAGAGATATGGCACCTACCGGTGCTTAGCTACATAAGCTTAAATCTATAAAAACTAACTATACTAAGTTATACGTCCCAGGATTCCATGTATCTCATAAAATTTTTATTGATCTAGCTCATTTAGTTATAGAGATATTAAGCAAAAACCAGTTCGCACCCTTCTGTCACAGACTTTATATATATATATTTGAAAAGACATTTGACATATATTTTCCATAAAATACTTAAATAAATAAAAAATTTTAACAAAAAATGTTTTACTTGTTTGACATCACATAAGTTGAAAACATTTTTTTTAAAAAAATAAATTTAATTTAATTTTTATATAGCAATTAATTATATATATATATATTCTATTTTGTCAATTTATTGAATTATATATATATATATATATACATACATAATATGCAGTATATAATTAAATATTTAATTTTAAATGAATTAGACTCTACTTTAATATAAAAAAATAATAATTTTTAATCAATTTTATTGATTTTGCAATTCAAGTGTTAGATATATATATATTTCAATTGGCATTTATTTTTGCTATAAAAGTTTCACTAAATGTGTTGTGAATAGTAATGAACTATTATATATATCTCTCAAAAGTTATTATTATTATTATTATTATTATTATTACAAATAACAATAAAAATAAAGTAATACTATATATCTAATTTGAATAAATAAATTCAAAATTTTTTTTAATAAATATCTATAGATTTAGAAAACACTGTAATTATAGTAATTATATTAATTTACTAATAAAAAAACTGATTTTATTTTATTTAATATATTAAATTGTGATTAACTTAAACATCAAACATATTGATATAAAGTAATGTTATATTTGACTATTTAATGTTTTGTAATTTTATTAAAAATTTTATTTTTTTAATTTATTTACAATAATATTTAGTTATGATATTATAGATTTAGAAAAAAAAACATTTTGATTTATATAAATATTTAAATAGTATTTTTTTAAACTCTATAATTACTTATATTTATTATAAAATTATTAATAATAATTTTATTTATTGTTAAAAAAATGCATTTTCTAGTTATTGATTTTTTAAATAGTTATTTAATAATTATTTTAAAAAATATTGCATTTATTTTAATCATTGGATATTTATTTATTAGTTATTATAATACATATCAAAAAAAATAGTTGTTATTTAAGTAATTTTACTAAAATTAAATTAATATTATTTTCTAAAAAAATTAATTTTATATATTGAATATTTCCCACTTATTTTCAGTCAATTTCATACACACCCACACATAAAATGATAATTATTTTAATTTTTAAACGACTGACTAAACTAAACACAACAAACATACAGTTAATACTATAACAACACATTTAAAATATTAAATGTAATTTTTTAAAATCAATTTTATTGATTTTACAATTTTGAGTTAAAGACAGAGAGAGAGAGAGAGAGAGAGAGAGAGAAGCAAATAGATATAAACATTATATATATTATATATATATATATATATATTTCAATTGGTATTCAATTTATTTTGCTATAAATGTTTGAATGTGTTTTGAATAAATAATGATT